CTAGCTACCACACATTCCAATCTTTTCAATTTTATTTAACTTCCTTCCCTTCTTTGGCACATTAAAAATTACTGTTAGTGAAATGCATCTCTTAGTATTTTAGTTGAGAGATGGATTATATGTGAAGCAATCCTCCTCCTCCTCCTCCTCCTCCTCCTCTTTCTTCTTCTTCTTCTTATTATTAAAAGGGCATGCCAAGATTTAAAGGGTGATGATAAACTTGAAGACTACTCACTTGGTACTTATAAGTTGAACTCATTTATATTTGATATTAAGAACTAATTCAATCAATTAGTTATTTTAATATTTATTGAATTAGTATAAAATATTGATATTAATTTAAAAGATATTAAAATAATTGACCTAATGAGTTGTTGATATTTGAGTTCAACAATTTCAGCTTCTGCAAAAAGCTGATGTTCAGAATTCATACCTACATGAGAGGCTTTGGTTGGGTTGATATTTTCATTGGGCTTAAGAAAAGACGAATAAAGAACTGAGAGTTCTTCCAAAGAGATGATCACATTTTTGAGCAAATCATTCCAGAAAAAGGAATCCTTGAGCAAATCATTTTGGAAAAGGGAATCCCCGTCCCCGAGAGCACCAAATATTCACTTATCTTTCATGGACACCCTACCGTCTATCCACCACGCTCCGCTCACGCGCTACAGTGTTCGACTGTGCACGATTTTCGGGCGCGCGGGGAATCGAACTCGGGACCCCAGGCCGAAACCTGAGGCTCTGATACCATTTCGGAAAAGGGGATCCCCGTTCCCCCCGAGAGCACCAAATAATGTTGAATTAGTGGATGCCTGGGCCATGATCTCAAGTGCGTTAAAACCCTTTAAACAATTTTCTTTGTTTGTGTTTGACCTACTGTTTTTATTGGTACTGCAAGGCGTTGCACATTCTGGACCATAGGATAGGTCAGCTCATGTTGGGATTTTGGTCTTATTATTTTGGCCCTTGCCCACTGGCTATTGTCTTGAATATGCGTTATGTAAATAAATTCATATATTATGGGATTCCACCGGCCTTCAAGTCAACACTGCCATGTACACGTGCTCCCTGCGTCCGTTCCCTCCTATAGGAGGTGTTTGGCTGTTTGTCTTTTCGGATTTTAATATATATATATATATATGGAGAGAGAGAGAGAGAGAGAGAGAGAGAGAGAGAGAGTTCAAAGTGAAATGAGCATGAGTTGTGTGGATGGGGGAAGCAATGGGCCATGGGGTGTCGAAGCAGCATGCATCACAAAATGATACTTTTGCCTTCAAACAATACAAAAAAGAAAAAAAAAAATCTCTGCCCTGATAATTTCAACACCCTCATTGTGACCCTTTTGGAAAGCAGAGGCCGCTTGTCGGACAAAATTAAAGTAAAACGTTTTCCCAAAAGCAATGTCTTCCACAAGTCAATTCCACCTTATTCTTAATCAACATTATTGAGTCCCTACATGAAAATAATATAATCAATAACCTAAAGTTTATAGTCAAACAAATCTACTACTGCTTTATCAAAAATCCAAACAACCGGCTAATTCTTTGTAGTAATTTAGATGATTTGGGAGGATTTTTAGATAATAGGGAGATATTTTCGGTTTGTTTCTGATTAAGAAAAATGACATACTATAGTGCGCTAACTGTTAGTTTTCCTGTTAAAAATTTGGAAAAGTGTGCTCCTCGTGTGCTACAACATACTAGTTACAGGTAAATATTAGTGTGTCGTGACAAATATTAAAGATAAACTTAATTTCTTAGTAGATTTATTTGGAAGAAATTCTAATCTTCTCCAAAGTTTATCTCACTTAGAAAACCTTATCACTTCAAGGATTCCATCTACAAATAATCAACCTCCCCCATACTACCAGCAAAAATGGGCAAGAAGTAGAAAAAGAGGAAGAAAGTCACTGCCAAAAAATCACCACTGGAAACCACCTTCTTTGGTGCTGCCGCCTTCTCCAATGTTTCCAGCCACCCATTGTTGCTGAATTTAATTGGCCCAATAGTTAGTGTTTTTCAATTGGAAGAAGTGTAAAGTTGTATATTTATTGTAAATTGCAATTTAGCCCATCCAATTTCTTCAATATAATAGTTTTGCCCTTTTGGCTATTAATTGATTCAATTAACTAGTTGAGAGTTTCAAATTGTGTATATTGATTCTTTGTTAGTTGTTATTGCTTTCTGGCCCAAGTAGATTAGATATTTGGCATAAGAGCATAGATCTTAATTGTGAATGATACAAACTAAATTTAGGTACAAAGCAAATAGATAACTGTCATTAGCATTGCAAATCTATTACCGATTGACATGACTTACTATAAAATAAATAGTCAGTATTGATGAGGTACTTATTTCACCTACTTTCAACTAAGCCGAGCAAGGCACTAAATTGTTGATAGGCATGGCAACCATGCTCAATTAGATCAAAAATTAATGCAGAATGCTTTTGAGAGAAGGGAGAATATTACTACACTTGCCTTAGTCAAAGAAATGAACACATGAACTGATTGAAAATGATAGTGATGATGGCAACGATAATAGCAACGATACAAACACTACCACCATATCTCAAAAAATTTTCAAAGTAAAAGCCAAAGTGAAGATATCGGTTTACGACAAAATTATGGACCCTGAATAACTTAACTCATGGTTGGATTAGTAGGAGACCTAATTCACATTCCATAAGTTCACTAATACTCAGAAGATGGCATACACACCTCTGAAGATAATAGGCCATGCAAAATTTTGATGGAAAGCCATGATTGTAGCAAGGATACTAAGGACATCTCATGGGGATAATTTAAAAGTTTTATCTGAAAGAAGTTCTATTTGACGGGCTCTTTAGAAGATTGATGAAGTCAGTCGGACCAAATTTGAGAGAAGAAAAACAAATGGTGTAAGACTACACCTTAGAGTTCCAAAAATAGACGTAAACTCTTGGAATGCCCTTGATGGATGTTTCCACCTACACCAAGTATATCTTTAGGTTACATAAAAAAATCAGGACGGAGTTAAGCCTCTTTTTAGTCCATGATAGTTTCGAAATAAATAGCATAACCATGACATTAGAATGGAAGAATCAGGTTATGGTGAAAAGAAATTCAATTTTCCACCACAAAACTTCGAAGTAAGGAAACTCAACTTCTAACACCTCTAAAATGATAAATATTGTAATTATTGAAAAATTGCAGGGCATGAAGAGTAGAGATGTTGGGAGTTATATCCAGAATTCTTTCCGAAGAAGTTAAAGAAGGATGACAAAGAAAAGCTCACAACTGTCGTACTAACTGTCAAAAAAAATCGTGGAACTTGGGTAAGTGAACAGTGTGGTCCAAGTTGGTCTTTGATGCCTTAGTTGAAGAAGACAAACTTACAATCACCCCTCTTGCTTGAAGTCAAGAAAGAAGTCTTCATTATGGATATACAGGTTAAAAATGAAGTGGTTCAGGCTATCTTCACCATTGGAAATGTAAAAAACCTAATTTCAAAAAGCCTAGTGTAGAAGTTGGACTTGAAAAAAACGATGCACCTCCGTCCTACTACCCTGGAGTGAATTCATAATGATGTAGAAAAAAAAGATTGATTGGTAATTTATGCTTTGCCATTACCAATCAGTTCATTAACAAGTTAACATGCGAAATGGTGCCAATTGATGTGTGTCAAGTCATCCTTGTTAGTCTATACCTATAGAAGAGGGAGCCCCAGTACTGCAAATAAGAGCAAAAGTATGACCTTTAAAAAGACAATGAGATATATGTTATCTGCAGAAGTGCTTTAAAACAAACCATAAAGTTAGTGATAACCAAACAAGCCAAGAGGCTACTCAATGTGTGCTAACAATGCCCGACAGTAGTGATCCAATCAAAGGAATCCACCCATAAGAGAGATGAGGTGGACACAAGCCAAACCCATCAATTCTATAAATAAAAAATTGAAGATAACCGTAACATAGTTGGAGATAAACTTCACTTTTTAGGAGATTTATAGAAGAAATTCTTATCTTCTTTGAAGTTTATTCATTTGGAAAAACCTTATCACTTCAAGGACTCTATCTATAAATAACCAGCATCCCTCATGGTGGAACATGGAAGAAACCAAGAAAACTTTAGCTTTCTACAACTTAATAAACCAACAAAAACTAGTGAGAAGGAGAAGAAGAGGAGGCAGAAAGCAGCTGCCTGAAAACCACCACTGGTAACCACCTTTTCTGGGGATGACACCGTCGAAACCACCGCTGTCTTCTCTGATGTTTCCGGTAACTGACACCATCGAAACTACTGCTGTCTTCTCTGACGTTTCCACCAACCGATAGTTGCTGAATTTTATTGATCCAATAACTAGGATTTCTCCATCGGAGGAAGAAGAGTGAAGTTGTGGATTTATTATAAACTATAATTCAGCCCCCTTGATATATTAGCTATAAAAATTTTACCCTTTTGACCATTAATTGATTCAATTAACTCTTTTTAGATTGTGCAAATTGATCATCAGTTACCTGTTCTTGCTTTCCAGCCCCAAGTAGATTATTAGACAGCAAGTTAGAATAAATCATTTAATTCAAATACAAATGAAGAGATGTAAAAAAAATCTTTTGATTAAAAATCTGATTTAATCTAAATATATAATTTATTCAAACATTACGCAAAAAATATAACTTCTAAAAATTAATTAGATTTAAAGAAAGGTGTGAAAGCTATGACTGATCAAGAGTTTAACAAAGTAGGTCAGGCAACATTTAGTTAATCCAAAAATAATAATATTCTGAATAATTAAACTAAGATGCAAAGTCTGTAGAATAAAAGAGTATTTAAAAAAATTATTAAGCATACCGTGGCAAGCTAAATGACAAACCAAGATAAATTATCATTGAAACTTGGTAGAAACCTATAACACTATCTTACAGAAGATTTTCCAAGAGAACAAAATTCTGGCCAAAAACATTTTTTTTTCAGTATACAAGTACAGCTAAATAATTTTAGAGAACCACCCTAGAAGGCATTAACAATCCGGCACCTTTTTCCTATCATTAATGAATGTACCAACTGACTTGAACCAATGCACAAGACTACGGTGATCCTTCACATAGAGCCAAGCTTGAAGGAATGGAAAGAGGCTCTCGTTTACACCTCGCTCTTCAATGTAACGATGCAGTGCATCTCTCATCTTCTCATCAAGATCTCTGCATATAGACAGATTTGTTAACTTACTTCACATATTCATTTCAATTATATCCGGGAGATCCATGTATTTGAGGAAAGGATAACAAAGAACTTCAAAGCTGGAAATACCAAAGTGATCTGATGTTTCAAATCTTAAAATTAGTTTTAAGTTCTAATCTTCCCAACACATTGTCCTCTCATCTTATTATTTTTATTAATACAGTTATGCAACAAAATGAAATTACATAACTGAAATCAGAACAACAGAAGGCGATCTAAGAGTTGAGAAAACTTGGTCCCACAGAAAGAGACACCACGTTGAATCATCAAATTTACTCCAACAAAACTGAATATTTGGCCAACACTATATTATGATGAGCAAAGGCTCCAGCAACAAGAGTTAAATCATTAAGTCCCTGGAATTGATAACTTTTCCAGTCAGGTAAAGAGGCATCTACGAGGAACACTATTCAAGAAACATCTGCAGTATCTTTAAATTAGGATTCCAAGATTTAATCTACACTATACAGTGGTAATCCATGAATTCTGGCCCCATGATGCAACAGAAGTACAGAAGATGAATCAAAAGAAGCTGGATGATACAACAGTTGCTTTCATTGACATTTTAATAATCACATCGCTTCAAAAGTCCATGCAAAACCAACTCCATTATCCACTGCATAAAACCTCATTTCAACAATTGGCATAAACAATCTAGATGAAGCTCAATCTTTTAAAAGTTTTTAGTCGATCATTTCGTGCTACTTTTAGTTAGAAGCCATTCTCCAAGTTAGATAGAACCCAATATTGTTTATTTCTTTCCATAAACACATTAGCAAAACAAACTCATTCAATTTTTATTACCCAGCAAAGAACAAGGAAATGTCAATGGCACCAACAGAGCATACTGTCAACAGTACAAAGGAATAAAGTCATAGACTTCCCTAGTTTTCCTTCAAGTGGGTTTAGCCTTTATATATCCCATCATATGAATAATAATCTACATAAAATGAGCTTTCCACCATATTTCCAAATAATAGCTAGAATGCTTATCCAGTAAATGTACAAAAATCTAACCAAGGCCCTCACCCATTTTATCAGGCTAAGTAGAATCTGCAGCTCATTTGCTTAACAGCCTTCCATTAACTTTCCCCTAAAATTAGTTTGACAACATCTAGACAATTCCATCCCTCTAGCCATCACACAACATCAATCTAAGTTTTCTGCATATTATTTTCTTGAAAGCAAAATAGTTTCATTTAAAAGTGTCAAGTGTCAAGTGTAGACCATCAGCACACTCGGCATGTTTGTCTTCCAAAATGCAAAATAAGGGATAAGATTGTGAGTTAAGGAATTTGAGGGATTCAGAGTAAAAGCATTACTTTGGTTGGTCCCATGAGATAGGATTAGATAAGCAATTATTTGAATGAGTTCTAAGATGTTTAATCAGACATAGAATTGGTGTAGATAAAAAAGAAATGAAATAAATACAGTTGAATCCACAAGTTATGGATCATTGAATGAAACCCAAGCAGTCCAAAGATTATGTCCCAGAAGCATAAGCAATACCCTCGGGATGTGGGATTCCTCATCCCCTGTATAGGGGATTAGTAATCCAGGTAGATGTATATACTGACCAATCAAATGTGGGAACAGAAATTGCCTGTCCCAATAACTTTAGGAATCTGGTTCATATCAGGCCAGCACCCCTTGTGCCAAAATAAACAAAACCTGAAGGCGTGGAAAGGATTAGACTTACGGGAGAATTGAAGATGTCAGTCAAAGGAATTAAGTTGTAGGAGATTGGATATGAGATATGGTACAGGCAAATGAGATTAGTAATGTAAGATGTGAGATATGTATAACCCTGTGTTTTAGCCTGAGAATTCGTAATGGAATAGTAGCGGATGGCAATCCCAAATTCATAAACAGCTTCCCTCATAAGGAAGCTGGAAGATTTCACATGTTGCCTGCAGTATCCCACTACTAAAATTCCAAACAAAACAAAGTTCCCACACTACTCTCACATCAATAGCCTGCAAATAACCTGAGATCAAGCACATTATTCAATATTCACCAGAATGCTAGAGAAACCTAAAGAAGCCACAGACAAAACACATAATGCCAAAAAGTTCCCTACCATCCCTACTAACAACATTACATGGGAAACAATGTCATTATCACTTTTTTATCCCTCTGCACAAATAACTAGCACCAATCATATGTAGAGATTATCAATCAACATGTACATCAAGTCCATTACATCACATTTATTAAAGACTCAAGGTGCAAGGCACAAGGGTGCTCTGGATCTTAGGCGTGAGGCACATGCATTAATCAGATGAGGTGCAAAATATATTACTATCCTATTATTTCTAGTCTTCTCCACACATATTTTAACAGTATGCAGTATTCAGGAGGGTACCCTGTTAAGGGGAATGCTCAAAAACTTGGAACACCTCTTGAAGAGTGTAGAAGACCGCAGAAGGCAGTTAATATACGGGAGAGGATTGTTGAATCAGCAATATTAAAAGGAGAAATAATCTTACAAAGGCAGCCAAAAAGTGTTGAGGCAACATTTTTGGGGGTTTAGAGCTGCCAAGAGGGGAGAAGAAAGGCCGTCCCTCGCTTGAAGCTCTTTTGTGAGGATTTTAATGCATTAAAGGTCTTCCATAACAGAAGTTGAGGCATCGAAAGCTATCAAAAGCAGAAGTTGAGGCAATGCTCAAAGTAGCCAATCAAGTTCACTGGAAGCTCATTTGCTGCTGATTCCTAGGGTTTCATCCAGACACGTTGATGGAGCCTTGTGCCCTGCACTCTTACAACTGATGCACACCCTGCTTGAAAGTGCGTCACCTGGTACCATCAAGGTTCTACAGCTAGATGTTGGTTATACTTGCACCTCTTTGGTCCATATTTGCACCTTTAACAATATGGCTTTATTATGACACTTCATTTCCCTTGAGACCATTTATCAAATACCAACATAAATGGAAAAACCACATAGTGATGCCGTTGGTCCACAACGGTAGCTGAATGTTAGTCCTGCATTTTGTAAGATTCTTCTTACTTTCTTAATTAATTGCTATGCTTATATTTTATAGTTGGGTTGCACTGAGCTTTTATCCGCTCATGCAAAATGCAGGTCTTACATTTATTGATAAATATATCTCACTGGATATAACTATCAAGTGATTAGATTTATCAGAAAGGGATTAGGTGGTAATTAATCCAATTAAAGAGAAACACAGCCCTTACAAAATCTAAAATAGAATAGAATAAGATTGATGTATTGGACTTACTCAAAAACAGGGCCATTGTATTTGGTTGGAACTACAAGAAAACCAGAATTTTCAAGCTTTGGCCTCATTGAAACTGAATGAATCCCCAATGCATCTGGATATAACCCACAAAGAAAATGCAAAGAATCCTCCTGCCCAGGCTTCGAGATGTCAACATGAAGGAACAACTGGTTAATTCCATCATCATCATCATCATCCTCCCCACCACCCGGAATATAGTTAGCCAACCGCATCACATAGAGACTGATCTCCTCATCACCATAAGTTCTTTTTAGAACAGGGCCACTGCCATCAAGTGCACCTTTCACGATGGTGAAGGGCTTAGGAGGGCTCACCTTCTATGAGACATAAATTATGCTCCAATTTAGATAAACATTTAACCATGTAACATGTTTTAGGCAATATTATTATGCCTCGATACCACCCACGCAAAAACACATCAAATTCTGACAACAACGATAAAGTCACAAAGAAAATGTGTGTGAATTTAGAAAAAAATAAAAAATAAAAAGAATACCAAAACTTTAAACGTAAAATTGCCCTCGATTTAAACCAAACCGCTGTACCCAAAACAATGTTACTATCATGGCCACAGCCAAAAAGCATTGACATATACTGGCAGAAATTACATTTTACAGATTAGAACCCTTAAGAAACTTAACAGAGCCAAACATATACACAGAAATTCAAACACAAATACTGACGTATCGAAAGAAAGGAGGACGAGTAGCTGCAAAAGTAAGTAATTTTATAAGCTAAAACCCTAGAAAAACCACACAGAAGGCCCAGAACCCCAAAAATACACTACTGTGTATAGATAATTATAGAGAACGAAATATAGGGTGATACCGGAGGGGGAGTCATTTTGGAGACTTCAAGGTAGTGTTCTTTGAGAGAACGAAGCAAGATAGAGTTGACGGCGGAGGACATGCCCTCCGCCGCCGAGGAGGAGGAGGAGGAGGAGGAGGAGGAGAGCCTGTAGGCTATCAAGCGCCACGACTGAAAAGCATCGGAGGCTTTCGCCATTCCTCGCCGCCACATTTTGGCTTCTTAGCCTGTTCTTGCCAGCAGACCAGCAGACCAACAGACCAAGACAGTCGCGAAGAACCCACCAGAATCCTGGAGCAATAGCCGTCATCTACTGAGCGTTTTAAGAGCTAGAAAAAAGAACGCATTTGATGAATGGCTCTAAAAAACTGTTTTCTAAAATAAAAAAAATGCAAAATATTCATTTTTAAAACTTTCAAAAGTTATTTCAGGCAAGCAGTTGAACAATTTAATTAGATAATATATTTTTGAGAATTGTTTATCTTTTTATATCATTTTGATTTATTAATTAAAGTAATATTTAAAAAATAATATATTTATATTTAATAAAAAATAATATTTTATATTAAAATTTATAATAATCACAAGTTTATTTCACAAGTGTCAATTAAAAATTTGTAAAAAGCAAATATATTATTTTAAGATATTTTTATTTAAAAGCATTTTTATTTTATACATAAATTTGAAAAGAATAATTAAATAAATAATTTACAAAAGTGACGTATAACGAATAGATATAGTGATTGCTCTTTAAGATGATACGAATATATTGCAACAAATATAATAAATTAATAAAGTTTCTATATTCATTTTTTTTATTTTTTAATATTAAAATATTGTTCTCTAGATAGAGAAAATTTTAAAAATTTAAAATTAAATAGGGCAAATTTAATAATTAGATGACATCTCTAATATCTTGTTTGGTACTAAGTTTTATACCTCGGTTAGGATTAGGGGCCCAAGAGTGGATGCACGTAAGTTTGTTAACCCTAATAGAAGAAGGGTTTAGAGGGTTTTTTTTAATGATTTTTAAGTTGCTTCTTATACTTTTCAATGGTTATAAGTATTCTTAGGGTGTTTGAAATTTTATTTATAACTTCTACTTATTTTAATTGAAAGAGGTAAAAGTAAAAAAAGCTTTGAAATTGGAGGGTTTCTAATTTTATGGCATAATTTTAATTTAGTATATGCTGTTTTGGAGCTATTTGGACATTTTTGTCCTTGGAAGTTTTTTAATTCTTGAATTACCGATTGTCACAATCCATCTTACTCTCTACACATTTGTCTTCACTGAGTGACAAAGTTTACCATTCGACCATCACTCTTGTCATTGGGTCTACCTGTGACACTTGTAGTGATCTAATTACTACTTTAAATTTGCTGTTGTCCATAACAAGTAGTCTCATTGTAGTGGTAACTATAGTGAGAAATTTTAGTGTGCAATTGACGTAACTCGTTGGTTAGCCAACACTCCACTCAGTCCACAATACTTTTCAATCACCACTGGTGAGTCTCAATGAGTTGACAAGAGTGCCCAGTTGACAGCTATTAGAGCATCAATAAGCTAACAAAAGTGGCCAATCTGACCTATAATAGTTGAAAATTGAAAAAGTTTTTGGGTATTTGGTTCAAAGACCCACAATCAACTACTTCCATTAACTAATCAAGCTCGCTAGTGACTATCTTCTGCCATAAAACAAGGATGGAACTCTCTTTTGTTCCAACTTTGACATTACTCTTACTTTGAGACCATCAAAGATGGACCAAGAAAAATAAAAAAAGAACAAGGACAAGCAAATGCCTTCCTCAATTAGGTTATTAAACAAAAAAAAAAATAAAATCCAAAAAAATAAGAGCAACTGGTTGCAATCAATGGAAAATTTGAGTGAAACAGAGAGACATTTACAGTAACACATATTCAAATTTTTATTCCTCACCTTTCCATCAGTAACCTGTTCCTTTTGGGTCGGAGAAAGTTTTGATTAGAGATCAGGGTTTTTGTAATGATGTCCACTTGTGGAAGTAGTATCATATGTTGTTTGTGGAAAATTTTCATAAATGTTGTGCCATGATAAAACGTATGATTAATACTAAAGGTGGACTGAAATTCCTTGAAATCAAAAATAAAAGAATACAAGTCACAATTTTGCCATATAAAACCTACGAATCAAAGAAAGTAACAAATTACACAAAAAGCAAGCCAATTGCTTCGAGAGAAAAATCTATGGAGGTTCATGCATTCCAAAAGCTCTCATTCCTCCTTTTTCTATATGTGTTTTTCCATTTATTAGACACATAGCCATATCCCAACGACGAGCCGCTCCATTGTAGTAGCAACTCTTCCCTACTAACAAGGGGCTACAACTATGATGGGTCTCAGGAATTATGCAAGTCATTTGTCACATTTTGATCTGTCCCTCCATATAACACTACAATGAGCATCACTTACTTGCTAGGCTCGGAAGCGGCAGATATAGCCTCAATCAATAAGATATCAAACATCGACACCATTCCCTTAAAAAAATGAATAATGTTCCCCTTTCCTGTTCAGGTTGTGGTGAATTTTATCAGCATAACACTCGTTACACAGTAAAAAAAACTGGGGAGACCTATTTCAGCCTAGCCACCCACATCTTCTAGGGCCTAACAACTTGCCAAGCTTGAAGAATTGTAATGGGTATGGGGTTGGGGATCAGCTTAGCTTGAAGGAAGGGTCAGAGCTGATGGTACCACTAAGATGTGCTTTTCCAAACAAAAGCTAGGCAGCCAATGGTTTTACATTTATTCTGACTTTCATGATAGTAGTGTGTGACAATGCATCAATGATCAATGACATTGTCTCATCAATTAAGCACAATTACGGGATTAGTGCTAATAGCATATTGGAGACAAATGACCTCATTCTGGATAGCGCTATTAACCCATTCTACCCAATTTTGATCCTTAACAAAAGTGTGAGCTGCAAAGTTAAACCTGACAATTTCTTTTGCTATTGCCTCAACAACTACCTTCCAGCACTAGTAGAGATGGTTTGATTTGCAAATCTGATCATAAAGGTTTCCCTGTCAAATTAGTTGCTTTATTGGGTATCTTTCTTTCTTTCTCAACCTCGCTCGAGCATGCTCTCTTGCACACGCATGCATGAGACATCAATTTCCCTTTGTTTGTCAAAATTCTTATATTACTAAACTTCGAAATTGAATGGTGCACTCGTTATCCTTATTAGTAAGTTGCTAGTTTTTATAGCTTACACATTTTCCTCACCATCCCAAAATGAGAGTCACCTCAATTTATCTAGTTCTTTCATTTCTCCAAAAATTACAAAAGGCAACGTGAAGGAAAAGAATAGGTTGGAATGTTGACATAATACTTTTTCGCAAACTTAAAATTCTAGTATGAGTTTCTTTCTTTATTATATTGTTCTTTAGGCCTGGGAATTGATGGTGGACTACTGTCTCTTTCACTTTGCAGTTTCTAGTTGTAACGCCACTTGATGAAAAGAAAACATTTGAAACACCGAAAAAACTATTTAAGCAAAACGGGGGTTTGTTGTTATAACAACAAATATCTGCTTACAATTGAGGCATGGGAAAGGGAAAGATTTTCATGGCAGATGAGCTCAAAAGGGCAACTAATAACTATAACCATAGCTAGGTTCTTGGCCAAGGAGGCTTTGGCACCGTTTATAAAGGAATGATGCTAGATGGTAGAATAGTGGGTATCAAGAAGTCCAAAGTTGTGGATTCAAGTCAAGTCAAGCAATTCATCAATGAAGTTGCCATTTTGTCACAAATTAATCACCGAAATGTGGTAAATCTATTAGGCTACTATGTGGAGATTGAAGTTCCAATTCTTGTGTATGATTTTATACAAAATGGAACCCTTTTCCATCATATTCATCGCCATCATCATGACCAAGACAATGAATCATCACTCTCATGGGACAATCGCTTGCAAATTGCATCAGAAGTTACAGGGCACTCTCCTCCATGCATTTAGCAGCTTCAATTCCCATCTTTCACCGAGACATCAAATTTTCTAATATACTTCTCAATGAGAAGTGCATTGCTAAAGTATTTGACTTTGGGCTTTCAAGGTTATCCCATTTGGGCAAACACATATGACCACTAAGTACAAGGAACGTTTGGCTACTTGGATCATGATTATTTCCAAACAAGCCAATTTACTGAGAAGAGTGATGTGTATAGCTTTAGAGTTGTGCTACTTGAGCTTTTAACAAGAGGAAAACTAATCAATTTCGCTAGAGCTGAAGAAAAGATAAATCCAGTTGCATGCTTTATTTTGTTAATGAAAGTTAACAGACTCTTTGAGATTATAAATCCTCAAATTGCAAGAGAAGCAGGGAGTGAGGAGATTCTTCTTGTTACTAACCTTACAATTAGATGTGTGAGATTGGAAGGGACATAGAGGTCTACAATGAAAGAAATAGTAGCAGAGTTAGAGGGATTAAGAAAGAAACAAAAATGCTTGCAATTCAATCAGGACATTGTTGGTGACAATCTGCATGGAAGTATGGAAAGTCTCTCAATAGCCACAGAAGCTTTTCCCAATCAGGAGTTAGATTGATTAAAAAATTAGAGTTAATTAACTAGAAAGTAATATTTTTATAGCATATTATTGTAATTGTGTTCATTTAAAATGATGTCCATCCTCTTTCCTTCCTTTTTTGTGACCTTGAGCCCAAGAAGGATGACATTTGAGAACAAATATACATTTAAAAATTTTTGAACTTCTTTTCTTTGCCACCTCCTTGGCAATTCAACCCACTTGCCCCTAGTAACTCCTCTTTTCACTACATGTTTCAATGTTTATATTTGTCCTGAAGATACTACTTGCCTTTAATTGATTTTGCTCCAATATAATTCATTGTTATCAAACTTCTTGTCCCTTCTCGACTTCTTTTGTACAATGAAAATGGTAGTAAGAAATATGTATGAATTTCGCCAGAATTGATGCAAAATTTATGTCAAATTAGTTCCTAGGATTGAAATTTTGGTTTAAGTCATATAAGTTGTATCAATTAGTAATTAAATAACTTTGAATGTGATATTTCCCGTGGACATCCCCAGCTTTATTTGGTTTAGAAAGCTACAGATCTAAAGTTGAGTGAAGTTTCCATCATGGAATTAGTTTTCCTTGTAGTAAATTGTTGGCTAAAGACCAATATTTGATCATTATCATTCCTTACTCCAAAGTAAGGAAAATAGCAAAAAACTGTTGTCAAACAGGGCAAGAAACAAGTCAAATAAGCTAGATTCGGTACCAACAAGCATGGCAAAGAAGGATTGAAAGTTGCTAATAAATCCCAAGTTCAGACTTTGTTGGAAGTGGAATGATCGATTTAGTCCGAGGTTCCCTAGCTTCTAGGAAGGAAGATGTTTGGAAACCTAATCACAAGTTTGACCACTATATAGCTTATTAGCTAGACATCTAAAGATATGCTTATCTTGTCTCTACTTTTCACTCTGAACAAATGAACCAAAAGAAAGACAATTTCTTAGCTAATCTTGCTTTCTTATGGAAAAGGGTCGGGCTTGTCCATGACAAGACCATCCAACCCATATTAATTTTGAATTTAAATGGAGAAGTTATAATTTCCCATAGCCGACTTCTTAGACCCTTAAATATATACATACATATATATCCTATTGATATAACATTAAAGAGTTTGAAATAAATTTTGTCTCAATATATATTGGTCTCTCAAATACATCAAAAAGCATTCTAATTTACAAATTAAATTTGATATGTTGTGACCTTATCTCAACGAAAGTAAGTAATTGCAAGAAGTAATCGATTTAGAAAATTGGTTGTGGATCATACAAGATAAGTCAATTTTGAAATACATTTAAGTTATCAAAAGCAACACTTTCTTACCTGGATTTTCTCTAAACCAATAAACAATTCTTCCCTTCTTCCTAGCTTGCTAGCTAACAAAAAGACAAAAAGAGAGCTACTTTACAAGATAACCATTTCTTCAACATTTTTAGTCCCATGCCCAACAAAATTTTTAGCTGTATAGGCTTCTTGTTGGAAAGTTGCAAGCTTTTTAGACCTAAGAGTTCAACTAGCTAGCAGCATTAGCCATATTAAGGAGCCATGTGGAATTTATACTGTATTAACTATCCCATCATCAGGGTAGATTTACTATCAAATAAGTCCTACAACAAACTTAGAGCTGTTATGTACAGAAATAATTACCAATTCAACCTTGAAAATTTATTTCAAAATCTCAATATTTACTAACTTTTTATTTTAAAATCTTGCTTAAGGATGAGGGATAGTTCTATTTATACTCAATTTGCAGTTCAAGTCCATGTAGTAGTAAAAATTAAGATGAAATTGAAAATGGTACTATAGTGAGGTCAGATTACACACTAAAATAAGAATGCTCTTAACTTTTGATAGTATAGTAGCATTCAATTTTTGCAATCTGATTAGGACACCAAGTAGAATAGGCCCATACTTTATACGAGGTACCAAGTGACAAAAATTTAAACTAACAAATAGTAGTTCCAAGATTGACAAATGATAGCTCAGATTTAATATATATATATATATATATATCAATTTGTGCAATTTGATCAAGGTACCAAGTAAAATGGACTCATATTCTATATGAGATACCAGGTAACAAAAATTTAGATTGACAAATAGTAGTTTCAAGATTAACAAATGACAGTTCTAATAACTTATGTGTATATATATATATATATATATATATTATTCAATTTGTGCAATATGTTCATATACAAAGTAAAATGGGCTTATATTTATATGAGATACCAATTGACAAAAATTTAAACTATCAAATAGTAATGTCAAAATTAATCGAATACTAAGTAGAGTAGACCATACTTTATACAAGATACCAAATGACAAAAATTTAAATTAACAAATAATAGTCTCAAGATTTACAAATTATAATTAAAAATTTTTAACTCGTATACACATAGACATAATTGGTAGACATGCCAACGCATAAATTTCTTCAAGTTTTTTTACTTTCCTCAGGTGAATTTCTGTTTCGTATTCACAACTTCGAATTGTTCCAAATTTGTCGATCACCACACACCGAGCTTCGATCCTAGTCAGAAAAGATCAACATTGACTGCTGCCTTCGATCCGAGTCAGAAAAGATCAACATTGACTACTGCCTGCTTCCTATAACATACATTCCCCGTGGCATGATCATGGATTGGAGTGCTGTCTAGCACAGTCAAAATTACCTCTCACCCTCCTCGTGGCGAAAAGACCAACATCAAATTTAACGAACTTCATAATATTCATAGCATAAACATAAAACGACAGGAAGAATTTTTTTTCCCCATAACTCTCCCCAGACTTTGCCCTTTTGAGGACTTACATTGGATTGCGTTCTTTCATTTAACAAAAAAAAAAAGAATTGATATTTTTTAAAAATCTAAATATTCAAGACGCTAAATTTTACTTTAAAAAGCTTTTACAACTCAAAATTTGAAAAGTTCAGAAAATATAAATATAGAAATATTAAATAATTAAAAATTCAGAATTTCAAAACTTTCGGATACAAACACGCCCTTATGATCTTAAATTTTTACTCAAAAGTATAATGTCAATGTAGACATACATTTCCCTTCCACACGTGTTACAATCAGAGAATTTCAAACAGACCAACTTTAAGGTTTCATACTAGGAAAAAACAAAGGCAGCAGCCAACTCGTGCTGCCAACCTTACCCAACTTCTTACGCGGGAAAAATGGAAGAAGTTTTTTCCTTTATTTTGTACACTGCAAATTGTTACGTGGAGTGGGCAAAAAATTTTTAAAAATGTTAAAAATAAGTTGGAGAAAGAAAACTTCAGAAAGAAATTATAAAGAAAAGGTTTTAGTGAGAAAATTTTTTAAAAAATTAAATAGAGAAATTTAAAAAATTTTAGAGAAAAATTTGAAAAAAGTAAGATAGATATAATTTTAGAGAAAATGTGAAAAGAATTAGAAAGAAAATTAAAAAATAGGTATGAAAAATTTTAGAGAGATAAATCGAATTTGAGTACCAAACAAATTATTAATATTTGAGACAAGATATAAAATTTTTTAATTTAAGTTAATTAAAAATTAAAAATTAAAAATTTTAAATCTATTTTAACTCTAAAATTATTAATCAAGTTAATGACTAGTTAATGACTAAACTAATTGTATTGCCCTTAATGATTAAACATAGCTGTGTCAATTCATTTTTCTTTCTTGTGTTAGTTTTAAATAAAGACATCGTTGAACTGCTTGTAAACTGAATTTGTACAGCTATGTTGAATCATGAAGGGCAACAAATTGATTTAGTCATGAATTTATTTGATAATTTCAGATTTAATTTTTTTTTATTTTTAAATTTTTATTTAAATTAAAGTTCTTATAACTCATTTTATATCTTTATCTTATAAATTGTCTTAAAAATTAATAATCTATTTGATAGCCAAATTCGATTTTATCTCTCTAAAAGTTTTCATTTTTATTTTTTTAATTTTGTCTCTTTAAATTTTCATTCTAAATTTTCCCCTTTATCTCTCTAAAATTTTCATTTTTCTCTAATCTTTTAAAATTTCTATATTTAATTTTTAAAATTTTTTCTTACTTAAAACCTTTTCTTAATAATTTTTTTCTAAAATTTTCTTTCTCAAATTTATTTTTAACATTTTCCCTTAAATTTTCCAGAAGTCGAGATGTCGGCCTCTTTGCAGCCAAATCCTGCATCCATATGATGATGCCACGTGGCAACTTTGACATACCAGTTGAAAAGGCACGTTGCAATTTTGACGGGGTAAAAAATAAAGGGAAGAAACTTCGCCCCTTTTTCTCACGTGAGAGAGGGTGCCGTTGTCAACCAGTGAAGTTGGTAGCTTGAGTTGGCCTTCCCTTTTCACTGTGTCGTAACGTGATAGAATTACATATCCCCCAGAGGTAGCCCAGTCCAAAATCATAACAGATAATCTCTTTGATTTGTAAAACTTTGAAAATTAAACAAGTAAGAACACAGATTTAAGGCGCGTTGAAAGTTACATGTCTCTGTTTTCGGTTTTTGTTTTCAAAAATTAAGCAGGGAATCCATTTTGATCTTGGAACCCATGGAGGAGTTGGTAGTTCATAATCTCTCCTTCTTCTTCTTCTTCTTCCTCTTTCTGTCTATGTTTTATCAGGGCTCACATGCCCAACAGCCATATCTGGATTACTTGGAGGCCAACTGCAACGCAACCTCCTCCTCATCTCTAGGCTACTCCTGTAATGGCCTCAATCGTGCAAATCTTTCCTCACATTTCGCTCCCTTCCTCCATACAACTCCGCGGTGAGCATCGCCTACCTCCTCGGCTCAGAAGCCTCCGGCATCGCCTTAATCAACAACATCTCAGCCGTCGACACCATTCCGACCAACAAGCTAATCGTCGTTCCAGTTTCTTGTTCCTGTTCGGGAGAATATTATCAACATATCACCCCTTACACTGTCAAAACCCGTGGAGAGAGCT